CTAGGCCAGCAGAGGAGCTGGAGGAGGAGGGGGAGGAGGTGGGAGGAGAAAGAGAGGAGGAGGTCTAAGACAAGGGCCACGGTGTAGCAGTGGGCATTGCCCTTGGAGCCTACGCCCCAAGGTTCCTGACGAATGCCGGTCCCAGTGGTGCAGTCGGCTCTGGCTGTGGAGACTCCGTGTCAGTCAGGGCCGACTTGTGCTCCACAGATGGCCAGGCCTTTCCTGCCTGGCACCTCCGGGTGAACCCGAACCTCCAACCTGTCTGTCAGCAGCTGGGGCTCACATATTCCTCAAGGGCCCAATAGCCCCCATGCTTCGATGCATGGCCCACACACACATTGTTACAGCAGCCCCCAGCCCCACCTGTGTCCTGCCGGGCCTGTGTGCAGACACCTGTTCTGGCGCACAGGTTCTCTTTCCACTTCCATCCCCTTGTCCTGTCTCCACCGGTCACTCCAGGACAATTCCAGTTAGAGAAGACTATAGGGGGTCTCCTGATCCCACCTGCTTGCAACTAACAGATGAAGAAGTCTCCCGAGGTGGGGCAACTTGTACTAGGTGTCCACCTGGGGCAGGCTCCCACCCCACCCCTCCCAGGAGACCGTGCCTGCTGCGGTGCCACCCTGGGGCTCTGGACAGCACCTTGAAAAGACCCCTCCTTCGCACCCAGCCACTGGGCCTCAGGGCCTCAGGCCTCTGCTGAGTTTCTGAACTGCCTGTTTTCCCACGAGGAGCCCTGAGCCCCAGAGAGGCTCCTTGTGGAGCTCAGCTCCCTTCAGAGGTCACAGCGACCCCACAATTCGTGTGTGTGGGAACTTCATCTCAGTCCGAGGGGAGGCTCCCGTCGGTGCTGCCCACACCAGTGTATTGAGTTGGTTCAGACCCATAGCGACCCGGGCACCACAGAGCACTCCTCTCCCCCGCCCCCCCGCCCCCGATCCTTTGCCACCTCACATTGTTCTTCTGTTTGAGCCATCATTGCAGCCACTGTGCCAAGCCATCTTGCCAAGGTCTTCCTCGTTCCCGCTGCCCCTCTCCTTTACCAAACACGATGTCCATCTCCAAGGACTGGCCTCTCCTGACAACCTGTCCCAAGTACATGAGACGAAATCTCTCCTCTAAGAAGAAATCTCACTGTTGTCTATAAGGGGCACTCTGGCCGTACTTCTTCCAAGACACGCTGGTGGGCTATTTTCCCTGGGCTGCACCAAGACACACCGCCTTGCGCGCCTGACCCCAGACCCTGCACCTGGCAAGGGAGTGCCTGCTTGCACTGGGCCTGCACTGCCCGCTCTCCACCCCTCCCTGGTCCATTGTCCCCAGTCCCCACTACACAGACTGAGTCAGAGTAGGAAGAAAGATCTGGCGATCTGTGGCTAAGAATCAGCCACAAAGGCTCATGACTCTCCATAGTCCGTGATCATGGAATGGCCACGGCTTTGTTCCACTGTGTGTGGGGTCATCATGAGTGTGTGTGGTGTGGACTCAGTGGCAGCCCACCACCACCACCATCATGAGGCCTGTGTTCACTCATTCATTCCTGTTTTCTAGTCTCAGTCTTTCAGCAAAGACGGGCACCGTTCTCAGTGCAGAAGATGCGGCTGAGAGTAGACAGGACAGCAGGCCACTGCTCTCATCCTGGCAGCCCTGCTGGGGCTGCCCCTCCCCAGACCACGACCACCAGGAGCTCAGAAGATGGAGCAGCCCTCTTAGCCGTGCCCTTGGGGCCCCTCGGAACATTCCGCTAGCCAGGGTCTCAGCACGAGGACCCCTGGCATCACAGTGGGTCCTTACTGGGCCCCCTGAGCAGTGCCCACCAAATCGGCTCAGCCTCCAAGTTCCACTAACCTGTCATCATTCCAGCTGGCCCCTGTTGATGGTGACAGGTAAGAACTGGCCCACAGCAAACTGGAGGACTGGCCCCGTGGTGGGGGTGGCAAGTAAAGGGGCTTTCTGAGGTCCTGTTCACTCCCTGAGACTCAGTTTCCCCCTCTGGACCACATGAGGCAGACGTCATGATCCCAGGCTTCTGGGAGTTTGGGAAGAGCTGGACTGAGGCCTGGGGCGGGCGCAGATGCCCTCTTGGTTTTCAAAATCTCTTCTCCTGGCTTCCGTGACTCTCAGCACAGACAGGGGACAAGGCCACGGGGCTCATGATTGCCAAGGGCTCCCATCATCCCACTGCTGCCGGAGCCCCCAGGACAGACCATTGGAAGGCCGGCAGAGGCAATTCTGCAGAGGAGGAGCCAGTGTCCCCCAGGGTCACTCATCCTGTCCCAGCCTGGAGGTACAAGAGGGGGGACTGCCTGCCTTGCTCTGAGCCGGCTTAACTCCCGTTTCCTGCTGGCTGGCAGGAACCCCAGGTAGCCGTGACTCAGGGAGAGGCACATCGTAACCTGCCCCGGGGGCCGCACCCACCGCCTACCCCACCTGGTCCAGGAAACGTGCTGCTCTCAGCAGCTCCAATAAGACTTCCATCGATTGAGAAACTTCTGGGTCCCCGGTAGGACCACCACCCCAACCTCCACTACCCCACTGTCCCCACCCAGGGCCTTCAGAGCCACCCTGCAATTGTAACCCAAACAAGCCCCTGCCACCTAGCTGTCTCGGACCCATAGAAACTCTGCCTACGTAGGGTTTCTGAGACAGCAAATCTTCACGTGGAGCGTCTGGTGGACTTGAACCAGTGACCCTTGCAGCTTGCGGCTGAACACTTTCCCCCAGGTATCTAGGACACTCTGTGGTTTGGGACAAAATAACTTGCCCAACAATGTCACCCGGAGTGAGAGGCAGAACTGGGCTTGCCAGGGCTCCAAACCGGTGCAAAGACCTGGCCTCCATGTCCCCTACCCAGAGACCCCGAGACCCTGCCCAAACAGCCAGGACCCAAACAGGTGGCAAAGGAAGCCGTGCCTGAAATAACATTTCCGCACGCACCCCCGGATGGCACCGTTTACACCCCTCCTCTCTCGCTGCCTGGTTCAGCGCCTGCCGCCCACAAAGAGTTGGAATGCACTCCGTGTTAGTGGGTCTGGGGTTTCTGGCTCCCTTGTCCTTTGCAGACGACAAGGGGGAGGCTCAGAGAGGAAGTGTCTTGCCCCGGGTCACACAGGTGGCTGCTGAGAGCTTTCTCTCTGCCAGATTGTCACAGCTGGAAGTGACAAGCCAGCTTCAGGAGTCTCAGTCCCACTCCCGTCCCCACTGCTCCGGGCTGGTTCCCTGCTGCTTCAGTCCGAGGCGTCCACCCAGAGTCTATAAACACTCACCAAATGGCTCTCACACGCCACGGGTCACTTGCTCCAGTCCTGCTGCTGGGAGCCTTCCCCAGGCTCAGGGAAAGAGGGAACTTTCCCTAAGTCACCCGGGACACGGACCGGAGGGACACTTCTTTCTGCGGCCAGCCTGCTGGCCCGCACTACTGGCCAACAGAGGCAGCTGGACCAGCCCCTGCCCGCACCTACCTGGTCCAGAGGAAGACCAAGCCCGTGGGCACCTCAGCGTCCTCCTCCGTCCGTCCGTCCCAGCTGCGTGCCGTCCAGGCGGAGCTGGAGAGCCCTGGGAAACAGCTCATCTTTCAAGGGCTGGGTGGTGATGTCACCGCCCTCCCAGGCACTCCCTCCCCTCACCTCCAACCAGGCTGTGCGCTTCCACCCAGTCTAGGAGCCAGGCTGTCTGTCTGAAGCTTCTAGAACCAGGTCTGCAGAGGCCGGGGTCTGGTGGGCATGGCAGCAGCTGCCCAGGCCAGTTCTGCCTGCCCACTGAGCTCCGCCCTATTGTGTGGCCGGCTGCCCATCCGAGCCTCAGAGAGAGGCGCTTTGCAGGGGCTAATGGGTCCCGGCCACGCGTTAGCTATCCTGGGTTGGTTTCAATTCCAATGCTGTGGTTGATCTCCTTTGCCAGTAACTTCACTCTCCCAGCCTCCATTTACCGAGTTCTGAAATGGAGCCGACGGCAAGACGCAGTGTGGTGCGGCGTGACAACCGTGCCTGACCCAAGTCATGTTCACTACCGCACGCCAGGCACCGTCCAAGCACAAAACGCATCCACTCGGCCATTTCTTCCAGCCACCCAGGAGATCTGATAACCGGGTGTTAGTGCTAAGCCACTCGGCCAGCCTCTTTCTTTAAACGAGGTCGCCTCCCTCCCCAAAGAGCGCATCGTCTTTCTGTGTCAAGGAGCTGGAGCTGTCTCTCTCCGGGGCCAGCTTCGCCTGTGGACGTGCATTGGTGAAAGAGAACACTGCTGCTGGTCCTTACTTTCTCAAGACAGTTGCTTTGGGTCTGAGTGTAAACCTGGGCGTTTGCACAGGAGGTGTGTAAACAGAGGGGGGTGGCACATGGCCGGTCGGTGCCTGATTTTACTTTATGCCGCTTGTGGAGCCCTGGTGGCGGAGTGGGCGACAAGCTGGGCAGCTAACCACAAGGTCAGCGGTTTGAAGCCACCAGCCACTCTGTGGGAGAGTTAACTGAGTCTCAGGAAGCCACAGGGGAAGCCCCATCCTGTCCTAAAGGGTTATTATGAGTCAGAACTGACTCGATGGCAGTGAAGTTTTGGTTCTTGGTCCTCCACCCCCCCATGGCTGTCGGGGGCAGGCATTCAGAGCCACCCTGAAGGGGTGAGCACCTTCCTGTGACCTGTTTGCGGGCGGTGGTGACGTGTTTGTGTCCCTGAGATGCTTGGCCACCCCCGTGAGAGGCTTAGAGGGGATTTCCTCCCACTTGAACATTCAGCTCGACTTTCTCGGTCTGGCCACTGACACTTACTGACCATCCACAGCTGTGACCCTCCTGGAAAATCCAGGGACTTTCAGGCCCTTCCTTTATTTAAAAAACTTTAATCCCCTCCTGGCCCCTGCTTCAAAGGACACCGGAGGAGAGTGAGCCTGTTGATGCTGGGGGGCAGGTGGGGTGCCGGAGCCCCATCTGCTGTCCCCTTCTCCTGTAACTCCTAGAAGCACATCTCCAGCCAGCAGCTGTGTCCATTCTCATCCTTGAAGAGCCCCAGAAAAGGCTCTGGGATCCAGCTGGGGTTCACTCGGGGCTGGCCGCGTCCGCCTGGGGGAAGCCCCTCCCTGGCCAGGCTGACTCCGTGCACATATCTGCACACAGCCAGCTTGTTGTCCGTGGGGTGCGTGTGTTTCGGTGGACAGACTTCCTCAAGTCCACGGTGATAGTTACGCACATGTATGTCAACCCGATGAAGGAATGAAGGGGCGGAGTCCAGCCTGTCAATCAGGTCACAGCCCAATGACCCCGCCTGGTGGGCGTGGCCTTCTCAGGATTCTCGTCCTGCTTCCACGTCCTGTTGACAAGCCCCATGGAGCCTCGCTGAGGGCAGCCAGCCCTGGGGTGCTCCCACCACCACTGGATCCACAGGACTTTCCCCTACTGGCCCGTGGTCATCCTGTCTTTGGCATCCGTGCACGTGCTGCGTGAGTCTGAAGAGGAACGTAGGGACTGGGATTGGCAGTTCCGTACTCTTTTCCAGCTTTTCTCTGTACCTCTGTGTTTTCCGAGTGAGGTTGATGCTGACCACAGGTATAACAAAACAGGTGGGACCACACGTGTAGCATTGGTTCATTCATTTCATAAAACTAGTTTTACTTTTGAGGAAATGCTGTATTTTTATTTCGTTGTGTCTGTTCCTTCAGGAAACAAACATCTAACGCACAGAGAAAAAATGCCAACCAATCACTGATTGGCGGTGCTCAGCCTTGCACATGCTGCGACCCTTTCACACAGTTCCTCATGTTGCGGTGACCCTCCAACCATAACATTATTTATCTATTTATTTTAAAAATTAAATAATCATTGTATTAGGGGCTCATACAACTCATCACAATCTGTACATACGTCATTTGTGTCCAGCACATTAGCACGTATGTTGACTTCATCATTCTCACAACACCCGCTTTCCACTTGAGCCCTTGGTGTCAGCTCATTTTTCTCCTCCCTCCCCTCTCCCCACTCCCCCCACCCAACCCCTGATAATTTATAAATTATTGTTATTTTATCATATCTTACCCCATCCAATGTCTCCCTCACCCACTTCTCCGCTGTCTGTCCCCCAGGGAGGAGGCCATATGCAGATCTTGTCATCTGTTCCCCCTTTCTCCCTCACCTTCCCTCCACCCTCCCGCCATCGCCATCCTCTCCACTGGTCCTGGGGGGTTCATCTGTCCTGGGTTCACCGTATTTCCAGTTCCTATCTGTGCCAGTGCACATCCTCCGGTCCAGCCGGATATGTAAGCCAAAATTGGGATCATGGTCGTGGTGGGGGAGGAAGCATTTAAGAACTAGAGGAAAATTGCACATTTCATCGTTACTACATTGCACTCTGATTTGCTCCTCTCCTCCCGCATAAAATTATTTTCATTGCTACTTCATCACTGTCATTTTGCTACTGTTATGAGTCAGGTGACCCCTTGAAAGGGTCGTTCAGCCCCCACAGGGGTCTCGGCCCACAGGTTGAGAACCACTGAATCAGAGGGTGACACGTGGGCATTACTTTCAGCTTTGTGTGACACCCAGTTCCCACGAGATCCCCTATGAGTGCCAAGGTGTTTCCCCCATTGGAACAACCAATAGGAAGCTGGGACACCATGAACCAACAGACAAGGGTTATCATACTGCCCATTTTGCTTTGTGTGCCTCTTGTATATTGTTCTTATTTCAGTATTAGCTGTATGAGATGATGAACTACATTTCGGGATACCGTTGCTTTAAAGTGATCATGAGAGCATCGCACCGGCTGCTAAATTACTTGAACCCCCCATGGGCTTCAGCGTAAGGACCACTGTGAGGATGGTGCAGGGGCAGGCGGTGTTTCAGTCTGTTGGACACAGGCTCGCTATGGGTCGGAATCGACTGGACGGCATCTAACAATGGTGTCAGGCTCTGTCAGGGACATCGATTGGTCAAGAGGGGTGGTTGGCGTCTCCCATCATGAGCCGGTTTGTCATTCTAACATGTAGTATCCTGGTGGCAGGGTGGCTATGCATGGGGCTACTAACCACAAGGTCAGCACTTCGAAACTGCCAGCAGCTCCGTGGGCTAACGATGAGGCTTTGGACTCCCGTAAAGAGTTACAGTTTCGAAAACCCACAGCGACAGTTCTGGCCTGCCCTACAGCGTCACTATGAGTCGGAGTCAGCTGGGTGGCAGTGAGGGAGTGAGTGAATAGTTGGCCCACGCATGTGTGCATTAACACAAGTGGGTGTGTACATTTAACCGGTGGCTGATCTCTTTCCTCGTGAGCGCACGTGTCATGGAGTTAGCTGTGTCTGTGTACTGAGGACCAGGCAGCGGGTGGGCATGCTACATGGGTCACTGTCAGTCAGAGCTGCTGGACAGTGATGAGCACGGAGGAGGAAGACCAAGTCTTCTCATAGGGTCTGGCAAACGGACTGTGAGTGGAATAAATGTTGACGGTGGGTGCAGAGCTTTGTGGGGCTGAGTGGGGGAGAGAAGACGGAGAACAGGGAGGCCGTCCTGGTCCTGGTGAGGTGGATGGATCACACTGGGCCTCCCCAGGCAGGAAGAGTCCCCCAGCCGGCCCCTCCGCTCAACAGGCCACACTTCCTCTCTCCATCCTATGCGCTGGGGCTGCACCGCGCTGCTTGCTCACTTCCTGCCACTGGGGGCGTCTTCTGAGGCTGGGAATTCCTCAGTGAGTGAGGCTTGGAGGGCCGGTTTCCGGACCTGACTGCAGAGCTGCGGTCTTAGGGACCTGCCCCCAGCCTGGCTGAGTGCTCAAGCCACTGTAATTCCACCCTGCTGCACCGCCCCTCACCCCCCAGCTGTAAAAAGCCTAGTCTTTCTCCTGCTGGGTAGCTGATGGTTTCAAACTAATGACCTTAGAATGAGCCACCCAACTTGTGACCACTACGCTGCCAGGGCTGATACACGGTGGTTGGTACCAATGGTGGGCCCTTGGCTGCTAACTGAAAGCTCGCTGGCTCCATTCCACCTAGCAGCACCGTGGAAGAATTGCCTGGCAAACTATCTCAGTAAAGAGGATTAAAATAAACCAAACCAAACCCCCGACACAACAAAAACCCAAACCCTAAACCGAACAAAAACCTCAGACTCATCCCCGTCAAGTGGATTTCTGCTCACACAGATGTACAGACTGCTCCGTAGGGTTTCTGAGAGTGTAAATCTCTGTGGGGAGTGAAAGCCTCATCTTTCTCTCCAGGAGTGGCTGCTGGGTTTGAACCTGGAAACTGGGGTTGGAACTCGGCAGCCCGTCACTGAGTCTGCTGCGTCACCAGCCAAGAAAACCTCAGGAGCGGTTCTGCTGAGCAGTGCACGGGGCCGCCGTGATTCGGAATCCACGTGATGGGGTGGGGGTAGATATCTTTGGGGTCCGTCATCAAGGGTCTCCTCAGGGGGCTCCTGGTGACTGACTGATGTGTTTGACGTATGTCTGAGGACCTGGAAGGATACAGAGGTGCCTCCTCACCCCACTGCCCTCTCAAACCCTGTGCTTCGGGGACACACAGTGGGGAGGGGGCTGGGCACACAGTGGGG